CCCCGAACGCCGAAAGACACCAGCACAGAAAGGAAATCCGAAAAACTTACAATCAGACAAGCTGCGTTTATGTCTTTCTGCACCCCCGCAACCTCCTCCCGGAATGTGTCTGGGTCCACGCACGCCCAGCTGCCCACTCTGCGCAACTGCTATGAACTGGCAGCGGCCGAGTGCCTCCGTGGGCACGCGAGCCAGACCCTCCGTCTGCAGCCGGGGCGCCAGCAGCGCGAGGCTCTTCTCAAGCTGCTCCTTCTCTTTCTCGTCGTCCTCCAACGACCGCCTCTGCGCCTCCGCCACCTGTGCCGCCTCCTCCGCGTCAGTCCTGGCAGCGTACGCGTTCCTGGCGGTCCGGGCTGCGGCCCCGAAGCTCTGGGCAAGACCTCTCTGGGCGCGGTTCGTCTTCGTCTGCTGGGAGTGCTGCGTGCAGAGGTTCCCCATGCGCGCCAGCCGCTCGCACCTGTTAGAGACTTCCAGGATTGGGTCGGAGATGGGGTCGGAGGATCGCGCCGCATCACCGATGCATCGGCAATGCATCGGTGATGCATTGGCGATGCATCGGCGCAGCTCCGGCGATGCATCTTCGAGGTGGGGGGTGCATCGGGATTGTCGACGCAATGCAAATCGGGCTCCGCATCGCGCCGCATCGCCGATGCACCCGCGATGCGGCACGACCCTCGGACCCCATCTACTCCGACCCCATCTAGGAGGCCTAGACCTGTGCCCTTCCAGTGTGACCGCCACGCACGTCGGCATCGTAGTGCGCTCGGCTCCCTCGTCGCCCAGGGGGGCAGAGGCCGCTGGCGGCGGACCGCGGGCAGCCTTCGCGGAGACAGCTGGCGGCAGCGGGGATGCATTGTCGGTGGCGGGCTGCGTAGGCGGGCCGCCCGGAGCTTGCAGCATCGCCTTCAACACGGCGGATCGTTTCGGTTTGGGCTTCGTCTGCGGGTATTTTGTCGTCTTTTTCTTGTCCGGCTTCAGGGGGGCCAGCCAACCCTCTTGGATGAGGCCCTTCACGAACTCGCCGTGCTCCGTATACCCGCCGCCCTCGATGTAATGCTTGTGGAAATCGACCGTCGCGGGCTTGCCATCCTGGCCGTCCGGCCACGTGACGAAAACAGTCACGTACGACCGCCTCAATACCATGTGGCGGTTGATGTCGTACTGGCGCGTGTCTGGGTCCTCGCAGGCAGCCCTTACGTCCTCGACGGATGCCGCCATGGCCAAACGCAGGACAGCAGCCATCTGGTCGGGGCGCTCCTCCGCGAACCGCAGCGTGTACTTCGGAAGAACGAACACTTCTGACGCGACGGACCCGTCGGGCAAAACGACCTCGCACGACTGGCGGAGAAATGTCGGCCAGGCCACATGCGAGGCCAAAAATCAGCGTGGTTGGGCCACAAGGGTCGTCAAGGTATCGTCGCCATCATCGTCGTGGCCGTCAAAGTCATCGTCGTCGCGGTCATCGTCGTCTGAGGCCTGGCGCAACAGTATAACAGGCGAAGTAAGCGTGGACTTCCGAGGCGTTGAGCGTTCGTCCACAGCATCACATAGTATAACCATCGCTCGCGCAGTCCGCGCTGCTACGCGACTTCGAAGGGGGTTGGGAGGCCCGACCAGCAGCTTCGCCTAAGGCCAAGATCGTGTCCAACTCTGTTGTACCGTACTAGCGATCGTCCCAGGAACAGGAGTGAGTCGCGGGAGCGACGGGCCATGTCAAGCGAAAGTGTCTTCGGTCTCGATGGCGAATGGTGGGCCTCGCGATAAGGCGCAGTTGCATATTGGCGGCCGAGCACAAACGGCCGCGCACAATCGCGCGCTATCTCTCGCCTTTGCTCCAGTCTCCCTTAGAGTGCGCGGCGCTGGGCCAAGCGGCGGCGCCGGGGGAGAACCTTTCCCGGGGGTCCCGGGGGCCGGGGCTGCAGACAGCGAAGCTGTGTTGATTTTCTCGGCGCCGAAAGTGTTGTAGTGCGCGAGAAGGCGCTCGACGTCCAGACGGGCGGACTGCTTGGCGTCGAGCTCTCTGGGGTCATCGTTGTCGTCGCCGCGGCTGGATGGCTTCATTTTGGACGGCCAGCGGTAGAGGGCAGCCGGGGGATCTGCAATCTGATGCACAATCCCATTGTACTTATTGGCACGCACGCGGCTGTCCACTGCGCTGCAGACGTCCTTCATGAGAGTTGCAGCGTCCCGCGCCTTGTACTTCCCGGGGAGCAAGCCCTTGACCGTCCTGCGCTGTCGTTCCATCACGTTCGGGGCGAACGTGGTGTACCCCGGCACCACAGACCCGAAGCCCATGCCCCAAGACGCCCGTAGCAGGGGCCCGCTGGCATCGAGTATATTGGTCCGCAAATCCGCCACGGCGCCCACGGCGTGGCGCGCGCGCCCGAATCTGACTGCGGGGTCTCTCCGAAGCCCGAGACAACCCGCGGCCCGAGATGGTGGGCACCCCGTACTCGGGCCGGCCGAAAGGGGGGGATGGCAAAAGGGGGCTCAGAACTGAGCCGGCGGTAAACCGTCAACCTTGGTTACCGCCGGGAACTCGTAGAGCTTCCTCGTGGAATGCGGGCGCGGCAATATCGCATTCCGCGCGCGCGAGGGTGCGGTTTCATGGAGGAGGACGTGGAGGAGAAGAAGGAGTGAGGAGAAAAAGGAGATGGAGGAGGCTGAGGAAGAGAAGGAGGAGGACAAAAAGGAGCAGGCGGAGGAGAAGGAGGGGAAGGAGGACGAGGAGAATGACGAGCAGGAGGGGGAAGGGTGGAGAGGGAGAGAAGAGGGGCGATGATGACGATGAAGAGAAGAAAGATGAGGATAAGAAGGCAAAGAAGGAGCAGGAGGAGAAAGAGGAAAATAAACATATGAAGAAGGACGGGGGGGAGGGGAAGGAGGAGAAGGAAGAGGACGAGGAGCAAGAGTACGAATAGTTGTTTGGTTCCAGCTCTGGTAGCAGACCAATGTCAAACATGTAGATACTTGCAACGAGCGCTCCTGGTGATTCGTCTAACCGCTGTGCCGAACAGCTCTAATCTCAACTGCAGCTCGAGCTACATGAAGAAAGGCATCGCCACCTTTGCAAACAGACTCGAGTACGAATAGTTTGTTGGTTCCAACTCTGGGAGCAAACCGAATTCGGGCATCTAGATACTTGAGACTAGCGCTTCCGATGACTTCCTTTCCGACTAGCGAATCTGCAGCTCGAGCGAAAGGGGGGGGTGGCAAAAAGGGGCTCAGAATCAGCTCGCGTAGCTGATTTTCCCGGCGCCTCCCGGCGCCCATGCATCGCAGAATGGGCCCCTCGGCGGGGCCGAAACCAGCTGAACGCAGCAGATTTCCGAACCCCCCCTATTCCAATCCGCTCTTTTCGTCCGGCACGACAGACGGCGCCCAAATCCGGCAAGACGGCTTAGCGCAGCCCTGACTGGGCCGAACGCCCCCCCCCCCCCCCAGAAACGGGGAACGCCGCCCCGCGTCCAAGGGCGCAGGACGCTGCGTTGGCGCCAGGGCTGGAATTACCGCAGGCATGTGGATATTGGGCCATCTTCTTTTCGTTAAAATCCCAAGGGTTTGCGTCCCCGTTCATGCGTTCCAGAATGCTGGTCCAGAACGCGTGGAACCTCGGGCGGGCGACCCCAGCAGAGGGGGGCACGGAAGAGACGAGGCCAGAATCGAAGCTCGAATCGACGCGGCGGGCCGAAATCGAATAATCATCAAATCGTAGCGGCGACGAGGCTCGTCTAGGGTCGCAACTCGACGTCGGTGGGGAGCGTGGAGGAGAAAACGACCCACTCTTTGATGAGGGGAAGCATCTCCATCCGCAGAAGCCGGGTCAGACCGTTCTTCTCCTTCTCATGCGCTGCCTTCTCGATGTCGGTCTTAGTATGTTGGAGACAGCGGTGCAAGTAGACGGTCTGCCCGCAGACCTTCTCCGCGGACTGCAAGCAATTGAAGTCCATGAATGCGTCCTCGTACAACGACCGCCCCCCGACAATATCGAAAAACAGTTCCATGCACTGGCGGCGGGCCTCGTGGTCCTCCTCCCTGGCGAGAACGAAAATGGCGGGGATCATGCGCATGTGCGGCAAGTCCCCATCCCCTGTGAGGCCGACAGGGCCGATGCAACCGAGAACGAGGTCGTGACAATTGCTCTTGAAAGTGAAATCCATGAGGAACGTTTTCATCGGCGACCTGCGCGCCAGCTCCAATGCAGAGGGGGCTCCAAAGGCCACGAGGACCTTGTCCTTCCGCGCTACCAACGGGAATTCAGCCGTCTGTAGAAGTTGCACGTGGTCTGGAGCGTGCGCCAGGAAAAGTTGGAATGCGCCGATGCAGATGGCGGGGTACAAGGGTGCCTTCCCCTTGTTCTGCTGTCTCTTGAGGTAATTGCGGGCCGCCTCGAGCTGTCGGTCAGTTGGCCACTCGTCCTCGGATATGCCATCGTCGCGCATTTTCTGCAACGCTCTGCCCGGCGAGCCCACCGCCGCGTATTTTTGCGCCCAGTGCCGCTTCAACCTGCGGGGAGGAGATGGAGGAGAAGAAGGGGGAGGGAGGAGGGAAGAGAGGGAGGAGAGAAGAGGGGCAAGCGGGAAGAGGGAAGAGAAGGGGGGACCGGGCCTGGCGAAAGGGGGGGGATAGCAAAGGGGGGGTTTGAGAACCAGCTCGAGTAGCTGATTTTCCCGGCGCCCCCCGGCGCCAGGGGGCGCCCGTGCATCCAGGAATGGGCCCGGCGGCGGGGCCGAAACCAGCTGCGCGCAGCAGATTTCGCAATTCCCCCTTTCCCTATCCCCCCCTTTCGTCCGGCCCGAGGAAAAGGGGGGTGGACGCTCCCCACGCAACCGTGGAATATTCTTCTGGACAGAACAGACGCCAGATCTCTGCACGACGAGTTTGTTGTCCTTTTCCGACACGTAGAAATTCCAGGCTGTGGAACAGCCCGTGCCTTCGGCGCAGGATCCACAATGGGCGATGACAGCCGACCCGCCTTCATGTGTGTTTGGCACCAGTGATCGATATTGGAGCTTGCGCTGTGCCAGGAACTCCTTCGCCAGATAGCGGAGCTCGATGGCAGGGTCGTCGATGGTTTGCGCGGCGAAGTCGTTCCAAGATCTCGAGGCCGGCCTCTTTCGGACTGAAGTGGGTTGAGATGCTCCGTGGACGACCAAACGCCCTTCGGATATCGGCATTGCTGGACCAGGCGCCTCAGCAACGGCCAGATCCGTGCAAGGGGACCCCAGAAGTGGCAGATGAGGCTGCAACTCTGCGTTCTGCCACCCGTCGTAAGCGTCCTGCAATGACGGCTCCTCTACGAGCTGGAGCTGCGTCCTGGCGCCTGGGACACTGCCCCGGCGGTAGAGCAAGCCGGCCTCGGCGCCGGAAGCCCACGCGACAATTGCGAGCAGAAGAGACGATGCACACATCATCCCGGAATTGGCTCAAAGCTGGCACGGAGAGTACAGTACGTTGGAATGTGCGTATCCCGCTGCAGTAATGGACTGGAGCAAAGGGTTGTGGAAGAGAGCGGAAGAGGAGGTTTGTGGAGGAAGATCGACGGAGAGGGCCGAAGAGGGTTGTGGGGGGAGCCGGTTCTGAGCCCCTTCGGAGCCATGTCGGAAGCCCCTTCGGAGCCGTAAGGGCTGGAAAGGATCCGAAATGGCCCAAATCAGTGATGTCTCCTAGGTTCGCCCTCGCATCCTGGATCGGGTTTTTGTTTTCTCTGGATACCCCATGTTGGTGATCGGTGCTGTAGATCTTCACGTTCGTCCACATGGGACCGAAATCGGGTGCAGATTCTTGACGGAGAGGGTCTCAGGACTGCCGAAGAGGCTGTCCAGACGGCCCGGAGAGAAATCCAGGACGAGCAAGACCAGGAATACGCCCCTCACACATCTTCACCATCGCTGGCAACGTCACCACCACGAAAACAATATAAACAACAAGTTGTTTTCGTCGCGCGAGCCTCACGCGACAGCTCAGGGAAACTACAATCGGAGATGATTGGGTAGGACACCCGATAGGAAGCAAGACTCTTCCGAGGGCAACGTGGCCCCGAATAACCAAGGACTCGCAGAGGTCGTGCGCAGGGATAGACAGGACACGAGGGCACCTTTCATTTGGCAAGGTCGACCTACCAATCAACTCCGACTGCACCGCAACCCATTGCGGGTCACATGGTATCTGCTGCGCGCGTTGGCGAATGTTCGACCTCTCTCCTCTCTCCTCTCCTCTCTCCTCTCCTCTCTCCTCTCTCCTCTCTCCTCTCTCCTCTGTCCTCTTTCGTCTTCTCCGCCCTCTCTCCACTCCTCTGTCCTCTCTCCTCTCCTCTGTCCTCTCTCCTCTCCTCTATCCTCTCTCCTCTCCTCTCTCCTCTCTCCTCTGTCCTCTTTCGTCTCCTCTGTCCTCTCTCCTCTCCTCTGTCCTCTCTCCTCACCTCTCTCCTCTCTCCTCTCCGCTGACCTCTCTCCTCTCCTCTGTCCTCTCTCCTCTCCTCTGTCCTCTCTGCTCTCTCCTCTGTCCTCGCCTCTGTCCTCTCTCCTCTCTCTCTCTCCTCTCTCTCTCTCTCCTCTCTCCTCTGTCCTCTCTCCTCTCCTCTGTCATTTCTCCTCTGTCCTCTCTCCTCTACTCTGTCCTCTCTCTCTCTCTCCTCTGTCCTCTCTCCTCTCCTCTGTCCTCTCTCCTCTCCTCTGTCCTCTCTCCTCTCTGTCCTCTCTCCTCTCCTCTGTCCTCTCTCCTCTCCTCTGTCCTCTGTCCTCTCTGTCCTCTGTCCTCTCCTCTGTCTCTCTCTCTCCTCTCCTCATCCTCTGTCCTCTGTCCTCTGTCCTCTCTCCTCTGTCCTCTGTCCTCTCTCCTCTCCTCTCTCCGCTCTCCTCTGTCCTCTGCTCTGTCTCCTCTCCGGGTTTCCTCTCTCCTCTCCTCTGTCCTCTGTCCTCTCTCCTCTCCTCTCTCCTCTCCTCTCCTCCCTTCTCCTCTGTCCTCTGTCCTCTCCTCTGTCCTCTGTCCTCTCCTCTGTCCTCTCCTCTCTCCTCTCCTGTTCCTACTAAAAACCCGGACTTTTGAAAATCCGGGTTTCCTCTCTCCTCTCCTCTGTCCTCTGTCCTCTGTCCTCTCCTCTCTCCTCCCTCCGCTCTCCTCTCTCCCCTCTCCTCTGTTCTCCTCTGTCCTCTGTCCTCTCCTCTGTCCTCTGTCCTCTCCTCTGTCCTCTGTCCTCTCCTCTGTCCTCTGTCCTCTCCTCTCTCCTCTGTCCTCTGTCCTCTCCTCTCTCCTCTCTCCGCTCCTCTCTCCTCTGTCCTCTGTCCTCTCCTCTCTCCTCTCTCCGCTCTCCTCTCTCCGCTCTCCTCTCTCCGCTCTCCTCCCTTCTCCTCTGTCCTCGGTCCTCTCCTCTCTCCTCTCTCCTGCTGCTACTAAAAACCCGGACTTCTGAAAGTCCGGGTTTTTAATTGCAGAATTTCCCCAAACCCGGACTTTTGAAAGTCCGGGTTTTGATTTTTTTGATTTCCGGGTTTTTCGGAGGACGAGGAGGACGAGGAGTAGGAGGCGGCGGAGGCGGAGGAGGAGGAGGAGGAGGAGGAGGAGGTGGTGGGGCCCGTTGACTTCTGGGGATCTGCAACGGGCCCGGGCGCGCACCATGCCACCAAGGGTGCTCTGGCCTCTGGCCCTTGCGCGCGCGCCCGTGCGCCTCCACCCTGGGGGTGCGCCTGAGGAGCTGCGAGGCGGCCGGCTGCCCTGGCTTCCCAGTGCTCCAGGGCTCTCCAAGCGGGGATTAAGGACATTGGCGCGCCCGAGGAGACTGGCAGGAATCCTGCAGGACCTTGCAGGATCCTGCAAGGCCTGCCTGACCCGGGTCTGGATCGACCTGGGTCAGTAGATCCCCGAAATTTCGCGCTCGGGAGTCCTGCCTCCCAGGCCAAGAAGCACATGCTGGACGTTTTGTTTCTCCGACGCTCCGGGTCCACGAAGCATGCGGGCGGTCTTGGACCTTCGGATCTCTTGGCGTCCAGGCGCCGAGTCTCCGCAGAATGCTCGCCGGGCAGTTTGGGCGTGCAGAGCTCGTCCCCCCCCCTCCGACCGGGATCACCCAGACACGCTCGTGCTGCGTGCGCGTCGGCTCCGGAAAAAGGGGGCGACGCGCGCGCGCTCCCCGAGCTCTTGCGGCGCAAGCTCCGTGGCGGGCGGTTGCTGGCCATGCCGCGCGGGGCACGATCTGCGTGACACGGTTTGCACTGCATGCTCGCGTCGGACGTGCGTCTCCAAGGGGGCGTCGAGTCTAGTGCTGGTATGTCCTTCTGCGTCCCCTCCTCTCCCCCCCGCTCGGACAGCGCTCCGCACCCGCCACCAGCACCGTCACCGCTGCCCGGGCGCGCCCGGGCCGGGCTTAGCTCTGGCCTATACGGCCCTCGGCAGTGCCAACCTGGAAAGTGGCTGACGCTCCCCTTCCATGTCGCCCCCATTGTCCACCCATCAATGTCGCCTCCCTTCAAGGTCGGAGCAGAGCGAAACGCGGTGTAAGCGGGCGTGACTCGGAAGTTCTGCGATGGCCGACACCGGAAGGGGATGCGCCAACGCATCAAGCGTCGCCCAAGCCCACAGCATCACTTAGACAAGGAAACTGCGCAACACGTTTTCTGGGTCGATTTTGTTGAGGGCAGTCGTCCAGCTTGATGGGCCCTACAACTGGTCCCAATGTCCCTGCATCGGGCAGTGCCGAGGTGGGTCAACACATGGGGTCCTGAGGATCGAGGTTCCTCGGACAGGGCTAGGACAAGGACAATTCCGTTCCAGAGCGTTCCGCAACGCTCTCCGAGCGTTTCAGAATGCTGTGAGAAGGCCGCGGCGCCCGAGACATCCTCCAGAGCCGCTGCGTGTCAGAGATTCTCGATGTATCCCCACCCGGTCTTTATCCTCGTCCTGGCTCCGTCTCTTTTCCAGGATCTAGGCCCGAGGAGGTTCTTGGACCTTCAGGGTTGCTCTGGGGGGCTCGGGAGCGCTCTGGGAGCCCCACCTTCAGGAGGGGAAAAAAACACAGAAACAATTAATCGTCGACTCCCAGGAAAATATAGGAAACTATTGGAAGTGGGGGAGAAGACGAAAACCCAGAACATATAGAAAATATGGGAAATCTTGGGATTTGTTTGTATTTAGTTGTGTCCTTGGGCCCCTTCAACCTCCTCGAGGCAATGGGGCTTCCTCGAGGAAGTGCCAACACCCCTAATCAGTGGCGACCCCCCCTGGCACTGCCTGGATGAACCTGGGTCCACCACGAGGGTGCGAAGTTTGTCGCGCTTCGCGGCCTGGGCGATTCCGGAGCGAGGCGCGAGTCCCTCATGCTGTTCCAGGGGGAGGCGGCGCGAAAGCGCGAAGAAGATCGCGCTTCGTGGCGCGCGAAGAGCGCGAAGGTAGTTGCCCGAAGTGAGCCGTTACCACGAAGACCTCCTGGGAGTTACTTCCACAGTGTCGCTCGGCATGCTGTTGCCCTCGCCGTTGGAGGAGTTGCGGCCAGTTCTCTGGAAAAAAAAGGCCCGCCCTGGGTTCAGGAGGGGCCGTGGTGTCTGGGCCACTCCTCAGATCCGGGTCGGGGATTTTGTTCGTGGCGGAGGTTCGCCGTGGACGGAAGAGCCCTTTGGTTCCTTGTTTGGTTTCCTCATGGTGGCGCAATGACCTGTAGCGCAGCGTAGCGTCTCGCGACGCGCTGGCCTTCCAAGGATTGGCGGGTTCACCGCGCCACCTCCTCTGGCCCGTCAGGGCGAGTCGGGGAGCTCCGAGGAGAACCGCGCGGTCACCCAGATCTCCAAGAAGCAGCGGACGAGCTTCAAGGAAATGTTCGAGGCATGAGCGCCTATCCGATACAGTCGGGGCGCTGAAGAAGGAACCCTGTTCGTTTGGGAGGGGCTCAGTGTTCCTTAGTTGTTTCACAGGTCGCCTTAGGTGTTCCTTCGGTTTTCGATGGGGGATCGGAGCTTCAGTTATGAAACAAAGGGGCCTCGTTCCTTATTTTGGGTTCCTTAGGTCAACGCCCCACCTGTATCGGGTCGATATCGATCCTGGCCGGTCCGGAGCGATTCGATATTGATGCTCCGAGGGCCCCATGCGGCCCGCTGCTTGTTCGCCGCAGTTGAGCGTCTTGGCAAAGCCGATCTGATTCGACCTCGACTCCCGTGCCGGTGCAGCCCGATCTGACGCACATTCTTGGCGGCGAGCGAGGGGGGGAAGTGAGAAGGGGCGGGCCTTCTCAGAAGGCTGAGAAGTTCCTGGGCCTTCTGAGAAGTTTTCTATAAGCCTTCCTCGAAGACGCAGGAAACTTCTCAGAAGGCGCGAGGGCTTCTGAGAAGTCCCGCCGCCTTCTGAGAAGGCTTTCTCCTTCTCATTTCCCCCCCTCGCTCGCCGCCGACATTTCGATTCGACCCGATTTCCAGATGCTGACTGATCGATTCATCTTCGAGGTGAACCTGGCGGTGATGGGCTACGGCAACCACAAGTCGTGGCTCCTTCTGATCCTCAACTGCTGGGACTCGATTGTCACCAACGTGCAGAATTATCCGCCTTCAGGAGGAGTGCGACGTGCTGGTTCTTCGGCTCTCCAAGGAGACGACGAAGACTGTCGACCTCAGAATGTACAGGTCATGCATGCTGGCGTCCCTGAGGTCGCTGCTTCCGAAGGACTGGGACGGGACTCACGAAGTCGCGTGGAACTGGCTTTGGGACAATGTGGAGCGGTTGCTGAAGGGCAGCTTGGGGCGCCCGCGCATCTGGGAGGCTGCGCTTGCCAGGTCGCAGAAGTAAGACTGATGGCACACACGAGTATATGAGTACGGCAGGTTCGCGCTGCGATGACGCGCGCCGAGGCGTTCGATGTTGAATGCTGCCGGTGGCCAGGAATCGACCGGTATCGAACGATTTGCCCTGTTGGAAAGCTGCGCTGGCTCGAGTTTGAACGATCTACGTCGTGTCAGAAACCATTAGGCAAGTCGTCATGACAGGAACCAGCCGTAGCAGTGTGAGCAGATGCCGGTGTAGAGGGAGGAGAACTGGTACGAGGGAACAGGATGGGAAGGAGGGATGACTTGGAGGATGCGGAGGATGAGGTAGAAGGGGATAAGGGAGGATGTAAGGATGCGGAGGATGAGGACGGGAGGATGCGGAGTGTGAGGATGAAGAGGATGATGATGCGGATGATGAGGGAGGATGGGAAGGAGAGAGGGAGAGAGGGAGGATGGAGGGAGGAGGATGCGGAGGAGCAGGAAGAGCAGAGAGTACGGGGATGAAGAGGATGATGAGGACCACATAAAAATCAAGATTCATCAACGATCATGCATTGCATCCTCCCCTCGCAAGCCCCTCTTCATAAGTGCATACAAGATTTCGTTTCCACTGTGGGAGGCGGCACCCCCCTTGACACACGATCGGCCGGCGGGCTTGTCTTTCAGGCAGGACCCCGTTTGTAAGGACCCGCCTTGTATCCCTGCAGCTACGAGAAGCACATGCAAACAGAAAGGGCCATATTGTTGACTGAAATGTCCAGCGATCGCTTTGTTTCGAGAAGGACCCATTCGTGTAAATTTTGCACAGGTTCGAAGGCCCTGGCGAAACCATGGGAAGTCTCAAGCGAGGGCCTAATTACAGTCAGGAGCCACCCTCCATCCGTGTAATTACGTTGGGCAACAGATCTGGCGGGGAAGTCTCAGCCAGGAGCCCCATTTTGCAAACGAACCGCCCTCGATCCATGTAGCTGTTACAGGCTTTCGAGACGAAGAAGATGATGAAATGAACATCTGAACTGAGGAGCATCACCAGGTGAAAAAGCATTACGCACCAGCACCAGCACCCGCATGTCGAGCATGTCCCGCTCGATGAGGTGAGGGATTGAGCGTTTCATCCGGACCCTCATCTAGTATGTGGACGGCCAGCGTACAGGTCGCCGTCGACATCGAGGTCCGTGAAGGGCTTTTCCGAGCAGCCGTAATGTATCCAGCCTGGCTTCGCCACAATCCACGGCACTGAGGTCCAGAAATCATCGGGCATTTCGACACGTCTGGCGACGTTTTGTTTGTTGTGGTCGTACTTCGGGTATTCGCCCCACACGTGTTTGAATCTAGGGTTCAAGCAGCCGCAATGCTGACAAGGTAACCCAGTCTGTCTCCGTGTGCGTGTCTCTGAAATCACCGCGCCTGATCGATACACAGCCAACAGCTTCTGCTGTGACTCCGTGAGAGACTTGAAACAACGTTTGTAAACAGGGCCTGACTCCACATCAACATCCACCTCCAAGATGCCATCGGCGTCCCACCTGTTCTCATTCACTATGCCGAGACACCGAACTCTTGCGATACACCGCAGCAAACGCGTACCTCGGCGCCAAGGCTCGATCCTTGTTGTTGCTGGATTTGTGTGAGGCGAGTGTGCGCGGCTCCAAGGCAAGAGCTCGTGCACCTGTTGGAACGCTCAGGTTTCGATATTATAAAGTGTTAGAAATGATCTGGCGAAACGACCAGCCTGCCCTAACAGCACGCCCGGTGTTGCGGCAGGGAGGAGTCATCCATAAGAGGGTGGAGGAGGCGGATGAGGATTTCCTGCAGTGTGTCACTCTGCTGGGAAACGGGCCAGCGCACGGCCGTCGCTTCAGCGAACCTTCCGGGAAACGACTCAGCACAGGGCCTGCACGCTGCACGCGTTGAGGGCGTTCCACGCGAGGTCCAGGGGGATTCCAAGGCGGGAGCGCCTCGTGGCGGCGCTTAGAAGGGGGTGGCGTGGGGGGTGCGGCCTTCTGATATGAAGGGAGGATTTGTAAGGCAGCAGGTGGCTTCTCGGAAGCTCTCCGAGCTTCGAGGAGGCCTGCTTGGGAGCCCCAGGTCCTTCTGAGAAGCCTCCGCCTTCTAAAGAAGCTCCCCGGGCCTTTTCAGAAGACCGCCCCCCTCGCGCTGCTCCATTGTGCGCGCCGCCAGGCCTCCAGGATCCCCTGAATGGTGTTTATCGCAGGCCTAGAGGTTGACACCAACACCAATATCGGTGGTGTGCCTCCACCGAGGGAAGAAGATCCCGATCTCGGTGATGGTGGTAATATTCTGGCTTCCCAGGTGACCGAAATATTACCACCAACACCGACATCTGGGATCATCTTCCCCTGATGGAGGCAACCCGCTGTGCTGGTGTTGGTGCCCATTTCCAGGCCTCCGAGTTTACGGCGTGAGTTTGCCTACGGGTCACGTTCCCGAGGCCACGGCATCCACGCCGTGCCCTGCGGGGCACGGTCGGGCTCCCCAGAGGAGCGCGCGCACGCTTCTGGCGTGTTTTTGCTTCACTTCGCATCGATGTCCTTCGCGCCGCAGCACCGCTCAGCGATGTGCTGTCAACCAAGCCTGTAGGGTAGGCTGATGGGCCTGTTTTCCACCACCACCACCATAAGTTGGAGGGGGGAAGGAGGTGGAGGATGAGGAGGAGGAGGAAGAAGAAGAAGAGGAGGAGGACCCCCTCCCCCTCCTACTTATGGTGGTGGTGGTGGTGCAAAACAAGCCCACCATAGGCCCTTTCCATGTTTCTGTGCTCGGCTGCAGCCATGGGTGCGCCGTGACGCACCTCTCGGCCAGTTCGCTCAAGTCGGTGTTCCGCTCGCACGGGTGCCTCCCCCCCTGCCTCCGCCTGCAGCAGGCTGCACACTCGTGGGGCAACGCTTCTTCGTACATCTCTCGTGCGCCGTTGCATTTCGCAGAGATTAGATGATGCCCGACGGACTCAGTATCAGCAGCCATGCTGTTGAGCCTGTCTCGGGGGGACCACCCGCTGGCGCGTGCCAGGAGCAGGAGGTGGATGAGGAGCAGGAGTGGATGGGGCACGGTATAAGACGATGGTGGACGAGAGGAGGGCGGCACGGAGGAGGAGGAGGAGACAACAGAGTTGGGAGTAAGGAGTCATGAGAGAGTGATGAGGGGACGGAGCATAGCAAAGAGGAGGGTGCCCAGATCTCCTCGGCAGAGTCAGAACGTAAGGGAAGGGCTGTGTTCCACTGTCCGAAGGTCGCTGGACGGCATGGATGACGGCCAGAAGTTCAAGCTGCGCAAAGCATTGTACATCCGTTTCTTCCAGACTACCCCGCAGGGGCAGGAGTATTTCAAGCAGTCGGACACTCGCCTGCATTTCATCGCTGACAGAATCATGCAGGAGGGGGACGGGGTGTGGGGAAGCGGGCAAAGGGGAGGTTGGGAGGGAGGGAGAGGATGGAAGGGGAGTGTGCAATGGGGGAGATGTCCATGGAGCTCTACCAAGATCCCGTCAAGATGGTGGACGAGCTCTCTGGGCTAGGTCTGCGCCATGTCGGTTACGCGATCCCGCCAGAGCTCATGAATCCGTTCGTATGCGCATTCATGGACGAGTTGTCTTTGAAGACGAGCGACGAGACGGCCATCGAGGCAGCACGGTGGTCTCTCAACCTTATCTGCAAGATGTTGGTGCGAACCATCAACGAGGGGTCTACGCTTGTCATGAAGGCGATCAACGCGAACTCTGTGAAGCAGCTGCGAAAAGCTATTTCCGTGGCCACGCGTAGGGGACGGTCGCAGAGCATGCTCAACATCCAGGTGGCCTCTTGCTTGCAGCGTGGCAGCCGCGGGACCCTTCCCCACATCGCAAAGCATTTGGCCGGAATGGACGGTAAGCCATGGGAGTTCAATTGCTGTGTTGCTTTCCCCACGCAGTGCTTGCACTTAGGGCTTCTCACTTCTACTCCAAGGAACTGGGCCTGTCCGCCGTTCTGTCGGCTATGTTGCCGCCGTCGCCGCTCCGTCGCCGCCTCGTCGTCGCCCGTCGTCTGGGCCTGTCTGCCGCTCAATGTTGCCGCCGTCGCCGCGTCGCCGCCTCGTCGCCGCCCGTCGTCTGGGCCTGTCTGCCGGTCTGGCGGCTATGGTGCCGCCGTCGCCGCCCGTCGTCTGGGCCTGTCTGCCGGTCTGTCGGCTATGTTGCCGCCGTCGCCATCCCGTCGCTGCCTCGTCAACGCCCACATAGAATGCACGCCACATAGATTGCACAATATATCTATTGCGCGCCATCTAGATTGCATGATATTAGGTGCTCCACATAGATTGCACCAACTTAATTGCACAACATTGACTGCGCCACAAAGGATGCACAGCATAATTTGCACCACATCTACTGCACCACATAGTTTGCACAACATAGATTGCACAGCATACATTACACCACAGTAGACTGCACACCATGCATTGTACTACATGTGCTGTATAGCATAGATTGCACCACATATATTGCGAAACATAGTGCACCACATAGACTGCACCACATTTTCAGCTCCACATATTTCGCGCCACAGAGATTGCACAGCATGTATTGTACCGCGCAGATTGCACAACATAGATTGCAAGGCGTGGACTGCACAACATGGATTGCGCAACAAAACTGCGCCACATCTGCTGTACCACATATATTGCTCCACATAGACTGTATCAAACATAGGGTATCACATAGACAGCACCACATAGATTGCCTGAAGCACACTGCTTGGGTCCACGCAGGATAGTATTGTTCCATCCGGTGCCAGATGCCACCAGCAAGTGGGGACCTGCTCCTCCTCCTCCTCCTCCTGAACTTCTTGTCCAAACAGCCCCTATCTTGCGAGCAGCGCCAGGCACGGGCACATCGGACCTCCGCTTCATCCTTGCATTGGCTCCATCCTTGCATGTGCCTGCCGCGCCGCAGAGGTCCGAGGATCGACGATCCGAGGATCGAGGTTCGACGCGCGAGGGTCGAGGATGGAGGCTCAAGACGTCGAGAATCGGTGATCGACCCTCAGAGATCCTTGCCCTACCTGGTAGAAGATCTGAGATGACACTTTCGGAAATCCGCGCAGATCTCTTGTGTCGGCGCCGGGCCCCCTGGCGGCGCCTCTAGCGCCGCCCCCGGCGCGCTCCGCGCGCCAGCGCCGACCCATGGAATCCGCGCGTACCTCCGAGTTTGTACGCTTTTGCAGTTCACCAGTTACGCTTGCCTAACGGTTCCTGTTTTTGTTTTCGAACAGCCGGTGGGAACTGGGCCTGCGCTGGCCAGCCGTCCTCGGGTTCCCTGGGTCCCTCTGGTCTGGTTTCCGTACTTCTTTTGAGCATCTGGCCTTCCTCGGGGTCCCTAGGCTCCCCCCCAAAACGCCAAGCAATGCCACGCAATGCCGAGCAATGGCAAGCAATGCCAAGCAATGCCAAGCAATGCAAGGCCAAGCAATGCCAAGCAATGACAGGCGACGCCAGGCCAAGCAATGCCCCGCAATACCTAGCAATGCTAAGCTTTGCAAAGGAGTGCCGAGCAATGCAAAGCAACGCCCAGCAGTGCCAAGCAACGCCAAGAAATGCCTGTCAACGCCATACAGTGCCAAGCATTATTGAGCAATGCCAAGCAGTAACAAGCAACGCCAAGCAATGCAAGGCAGTGTCCAGCAATGCCACGCAGTGCCAAGCAATGCCACGCAGTGCCAAGCAAGGCCGCTAAGGAAGTGTTCACCGAATTGGGGTCGCGCCAGTTTCTTTTTGTTCTTCCAGGATCGACGATCGATGGTCAATTCGTTGAATAGGAACACTTTGAGTTCAGCGGGGACTGTAGTTTCAGGACCGCTCCTTAGATCTAGGTCGGGGACCTCTTTGTGGCCGAGGCTCGCCGTGGCCAGACGAACCCCGTCGTTCTTTAATCAGCGTTCCTTATTGTAGCACGGTGACTGTATCGCTGTCCGGTTCTGCCCCCCGCGCCGCACGCCAGCGACGACCCAAGACATCCGTGCGGATCTCCAAAGATTTCTGCTTACGCAGCTTTTCTCCTTCCAGTATCGACCATCGGCGGTTGACGATCTGCACGTCGGACGCTGAGATGAGCACCGCGTTTTGGCTCTGAGTCAGACCTGGGTCGGGGAGCCTCTTCGTGGCCTGGGCTCGCTGTGGCCAGAAACGCCGCTTTCCGCTCCTCGTTCGTCCCTCCTTCTGGCTGCACAACGACTGCATCGCTGTCTTGTTCCGTCTTCCGCGCGCCTGCGGCGCCGCCTCTGGCGCGCTCCGCGCGTCAGCGCCGACCCACGATGGGGTCTTGCTAGAAGTTCCCCTGGCCCAAGGTGCCCCAAGGATCTCCAGATCACCCCTCTCGAGGCCCAGGGGTCCCAGGGGCTTCAAGGTGGAGCGAAAAGCTGGGGGCACCTTGGACCAGGGGCACTTTGAGCACCCCCAAGAAATCCCCTTCGTTCCTTGTTCGGCGCCCCTTCTGGCAGCACAATGGCTGCATCGCTGCCTGATTTCGGGAAGGCGATGTTGGCCGGGGGCTGGCCCCGCCACCGCCTCGCGAGGGGGGTCCTCCGCGGGGCATGCTGCCCCTTGGAGGCCCCCGTAGGGCCGTGGGCATCCCAGAACTTCGGCTCTCCTCCCCCGGCATCTGGCGTCGCGAAACCAATGCCGACGGAAGGGGTTGTGGGCTGGCCGCTTTTGGCCTCCGAGGGATCTCGTTGGGCCCCGGGGCCGTCAAGAAACGGCTCGGGATGAAACGCTGGGCCTGGGGAAGAGGAGGAGGAGGACGAGGAAGAGGAGGAGGAGGAGGAGGAGGAGGAGGAGGGTCTTCAAGGGACAACTTATGGAACAAGCCAAGGCATCATATGTTTCTGGGCCTAGCTTTCCCTCTCTGCCCGGGAGGAGGAGGAGGGGGCGGAGGAGGAGCCCAGGTGCCAGGATGGAGGGGGGAGCAGGACGACGAGAAGGAGAAGGGAGGAGAGAGGAGCAGGAGACGGAGGAGGAGGGATGGATGAGGAGGTATGGAGGAGGAAGAGGTATGGAGGAGGGGGGATCATGAAGGGGAGGCAGGTGTGAGGACGAAGGAAGAATCAGCGAAGAGTAGGAGGAGGAGGAGGAGGAGGAGGAGGAGGAGGGGGAGGAGGAGGGCGGAGGACAAGAGCGCTCGCGCCATTTCTGGCGTCCTACCCTTTCCTCTCATCCCTTTGTGCGTTGAACCTCCTGTCTATTCGCAGAGTCGGATGCCAGGAAACCTTGATCCTGAAGTGGCAATGTAACATAAGAGGACCTTTATCCCCGAGAGCTACGTCGGGAATCAGACACTCGCCAGTTCAGGACTGCGACCAGCGCGGGGGCAAGAGCGTTAAGCATGTGGACATAACCGTCTCACGCGCGCATCACACAATTGTTGTTATACAAAGGAGTGGTCGACACGTCACATCCTCTCTGGGGTGGCACAAACAACATACGGATGCAGTGCTGCAGCCAGCGCCGCCGCTAGAGCGTCGTTCCGTTGGACGCAGGCTTGGTGGAATATGTTTGAAGATGGCGCACGCAGCAGCGGGAGCACCACTCCTGGTCATGCAGGGCTACGGCCAGCGATGCGGCGAAAGCGCTGTTCCGTTGGACGGAGGCTCGATGAAAGCCGTTACATGCGGCGCTGCAGCGGGGGCACCAGTGCTGCTGATGCAGGAGTACGGCCACCGCTGCGACGAGAGCGCCGCCCTTTTGAACGGAGGACCAATGGACATTCCCAAGTGTGGCCCTATAGCGGGAGTACCGCTCTCACTCATGCAAGAGTACAGCCAGCGCTAACGCAAACTCGTCGACCATTTGGTCCGAGGCTCTCTGGATTTCACTAGATGTGGCAAATGCTTCAGCGGGGGTGCGACTTTTCATCGGCCGAGATTGTCCCAGTGGAGACTGATCTCGAGTGCAAGCTAGAGGAGTCTTGTTTGTGAAAGCCGTGTGCGGTATAGGCAGGCGCAACGTCAGATAGCGCCACGGGGAGTATTCACAAGGTCTGCGTGTGGAGAGGGACGTTGAGGAGGAGCCTCGCTGTCCAGATAGAGGGGGTAGGAGGGCGCCGAGGAGGCTGGGGGAGGAGGGAGGGTGGGGAACCGAGGAGATAATGGTGATGCTGCTGATGATGATGATGATGATGATGATGAGGAGGAGGAGGAGGAGGAGGAGGAGGAGGAGGAGGAGGAGGAGGAGGAGGAGGGAGACGAGGAGGAGGAGGAGGTGAGAACATCGAGCAGGGAGGAGGAGGGAGGAGGACGAGGAGGAGGAGGAGAAGGAGGAGGAGTTGGAGGAGGAAGAGGGAAGAGGGAGGACGGATGAGGGAGGAGGACGATGCACAGTTGAAAGGAGGAGGGAGGAAGGAGCAGGGGCAAGGGAGGGAGAAGGAGGAGGAGGAGAAGGAAGATTTGGAGTAGAATAGGGAACACGAGGAAGGTACGTAAGGAAGAGCGCAAGGTGAAAAGCGATGGTGACGAGGCGGGATAACGATGCTAATGATGATGATGCTGATGATGATGATGGTGATGATGATGCTGATGATGAGGATGACGACACTGATGATATTGATGATGAGGATGATGACGAGGATGAGGATGAGGATGACGATGATGCTGTTGCTGCTGATGATGATGGTTTTGGCAATGACGATGGCTTGAATGACGATGCTGTTGTTGCGATGTTGCAGGTGATGGTGATGGTGATGATGATTGTGATTACGATGGTGATGCTGATGATGATGGTAGTGATGCTGCTGATGATGAGGAGTAGGGTGATGATGCGGCTGATGATGATGAAGATGCTGATGAGGACGATGCTGATGGTGATGATGATGCTGCTGACGATGATGTTGATGACGATGCAGGTGACTACGACGATGCTGACGAGGGTGATGCTGCTGATGACTATGCTGACGGCGATACTGAGATTGTTCATGATGATGCTGCTGCTCATGATGCTGATGATGATGACTTCGTTGAGGGTGAATCTTACGACGATGATGGCGATGATAATAGCCACGACAAGTATCAGGGGAGTGGTGTAGCGAGGGGGGTGGATCTGGTGACGATGCTAAGACCGATGATGATCAGAGTGATGACAAGGACACGAACCTACTGGCGCTGCTCCAGGCGACACTCAAACTCGTGCGGCAGACGGCACACAAGAATAGGCTCGCCTTCTCCGTCTCGAAAGACACCAATGCGATGCCGGCGAATCACAGCATGGTGATCCAGATCACCGAGGAGCTCGAAGGGTACAAAGGACTGCTCGATTCACTTCGCACACAGGGGGGCGAAGGCAAGACGAGGATGAAGGAGATCGGCTCCCCAGCCGCCAGCTTAGCGTTGGCGGCCCTGGAGGGCCTGATGATGTGCGACGTCGGCGGCGCGGCGGCGAACGACATCAAGACGTACCTGTTGAAGTGCTGCCCAGTAGAGGCAGAGGCGGAGCCCGACGTCGACAAAGGTTTCCTGGAGAGCGCTGTGAGTTGCATACGCTTGAAGAGCTGCTGCGATTCGCAGAAGATGAAGGTCGTAGTCGGCGCCCCCAGCTGGGAGGGGAGGTCTCTCATACAGAAGGCCCTGCGGGCCGAGGGCGTAGCGATTCACCGCGAAGGGGTGGCACCAGCGGGCTGGCTCGAGGACGAGGTGGGCCATTGGCTCGAGACGATCAGCGAGGGAATGTGACACCGATGAGATTCGTGAGTGGTGGATTCCTGCCAGCCGCCCGCGCCGCCCCTGCCCGCATTGCCTCACCCAGCTCGGAAGGAGGTGAGCAGCTGCTAGAGCAGCTTGCCTGCCCCGAACCTGTCTATGATGAGTACGAGGCCGAAAATCTTGTGGCAGCTGACTTATATGGTTAAGTTGCCCCTGCATGCCACCATGCTTCGCTGTGCGAGCGCCCTTGCAGGCATCATGCCCCGAGCAGCGCTCGAGAGTCATAGCTCTCTGCGACGAACCTTACTTTTTGCAAGATGACGTGCGCAATCATATCCTTCTTCTTTGGCTCTCATGCCGTTGGACATGATGCTGAGGTTGATGCTGCTGATGTTGCCGCTGATGATTGTGATGGTGATGGTGGTGATGGTGATGGTGATTCTGATGATAGTGTTGGCGATGACGATGCCGATACCGATGCGGGTGCGGACCACGGCGACGATGGTGATGATCATGGTGACGCTGGTGATGTCGATGGTGCTGAGGATGCTGCTGTGGATGCTGCTGGTGATGATGGTGATGCTGTGTCCGTTTATGCTGATGGTGATGATGATGCTGATGGGCGGTGATATTGGGTCGGTGGATCACAATGACGACGATGATGCTGCTGATGATGATGGTGGCGGTGGCGGCGATGGCGATGGTGCTGCATATGGTACCGATTCTGGTAACCATGATGTGTTTATGGGGGGGATGCAGCTGAGGGTGCTATTGCTGATGTTGATGGCACTGCAGTCGGCGGCGGCGACGACGAAGACGGCGGCGATGACGACGATGACGTCGACGCCGACGACGATGATGACGACGCTGATGATGCTCACGATGTTGGGCACGACGGTGATGGCTATGCTGGGTAGGATGATGGCGGCCACGAGTATGATGGTTACGGCGATGTGTACTGTACTGCTGATGACGGCGATGCTGGTGATGATGGTGTTGTTGTTGTTGTTGTTGTTGTTGTTGTTGCTGTTGTTGTTGTTGTTGTTGTTGTTGTTGTTGTTGGTGGTGGTGGTGGTGGTGGTGTTGTTGTTGCTGGTCACGATGATGCGGCTGATGAGAATCACGCCGATGCCGCTGGTGCTGTTGATGATGGTGCTGTTGATGCTGGTGGTGGCTATGATGTTGATGATGTTGGCGCGGAAAATAATGATGCCGGTGGTGATGGTGATGCGGATGTTGATGGTTATGGTGGTATTGATGGTGATGCTGATGAGGACGGTGCCGCTCATCGTGGGGGATGCTGATGATGAGAATGCTGACCCTGAGGAGGAATAGGGCGATGCGGATTTTGATGTTGGGGTGCTGATAGTGGTGCTGCTGATGACGAGGATGTAACCGAGTAGGAGGGGAGGAGGAGGAGGAGGAATTATGAGCACGAAGAGGAAGATGAGGAGGTGAATCGCGGATCAGGGATGGGAAGGTATGGGGAGCAAGAGCAGGAGGATAAGGAGGACGACGGACGATGACACGGAGGAAGAGGAGGAAGAGGAGGAGGAGGAGGCGGAGGAGGAAGAGGTGGACGGAGAAAGCGCACGAGGAGCAGGAGGCGGAGGAGGAGGGGGAGGAAGAGGAGGAGAAGGGGGGGGAGGAGGAGGCGGAGGAGTAGGAGGAGGAAAAGGCCGAAGAGGAGGGGAAGGAGGAGGAGGAGGAAAAGGAGGAGGGGGACGATGAGGAGGAGGAGGGGGGGGGAGGAAGAGGAGGAGGGAGGAGGAGGAGGAGGAGGAGGAGGAGGAGGAGGAGGAGGAGGAGGAGGAGGAGCAGGAGGACCGAAGCGAAGCACGATAGGACAGGAGACATGATGGGGAGAATCAGGAGGAGAAGGGGGAGGAGGATAAGAAGTAGGAGTTGTTGTTGTTGTTGGAGGAGGAGGAGCAGCAGCAACACCAGCCGCAAAACGATACTGTAGAACAAAGGAGGAGGAGGACACGAGGAGGAAACGAAGAAGAAACGAGGTGGATGATAAACATAGGAGGAGGAAGAGGAGGAGAAGGAGGAGGAGGAGGAGGAGCAAGAGGAGGAGGAAAAGGTGGAGGAGGAGGAGAAACATGTGCAGGAGCAGGAGCAGGAACAGGAGGAAGTGAACGAGGAGGAGGAGGTGGACGAGGAGGGGGAGGAGGAGGCGGAGGAATTGGAGGGACAGGAGAAGGAGGAAGCGAGGAGGATGATAAAGCATACGAAGAGGAGGTATGGAGGAGGAGGAGGAGGAGGAGGAGGAGGCGGAGAAGGAGGAGGAGGACGAGGAGGAAGAGGAGGAGGAAGAGGAAGACAAGGGTCTCGCCCCGCTTCCCAGGTGGGCCGCCACGCGATCTCGCCGCTGGACTGGGCGCTGCAGAGCGGGAGTCTGGACGCCGCGCGCGCCATCCTGGAGGACCTGCTGACCATCAGGGCTGACCGCGAACGGTGCCGCCCTCCTCCCTCCTTTCGTTTCCTACCTCCATACTTCTCCTCCTCCTCCTCCTCCTCCATCATCCTGCCTCCCTCCCCCTCCTCCTCATCCATCCTCTCCTCCTCCTCCCTCGCTCCTCCTCCCTCCCTCGTCATCCCCCTCCTCTTCCTCCTCCCCTTCTCCTCCTTCTCCCTCCCTCCCTCCCTCCTCCTCCTTCTCATCATCCTCCTCTCCTCCTTCCTCCCTCCCTCCCGCCCTCCCTCCCTCCCTACCCCCCTACCCCCCTCCTCCCGTGCGAATTGGGCGGCAGCCCAGGCCAAGCATGCCCTGCGCGCTGGCAGCCCGCAGAAACCCCGACCCCGGGACCGCTCCGCGATGATGCGGCCATGGGCCTTTTCGACCGAGCGCCGCGTGCGCTGCCCGAGCAGTTCCATTGGGCAGCAGCTCATGGGAGCCTCGTGTGTCCTCGGACTTCCAACTTTGGAGTGCACCATCGTGCGATAGCGTCTGTTCATCGGTGTTGAAGCTCAGTATCATTGAACGAATCCCCATCCCCATCCCCATCCCCTTCGAGACCCCCACCAAATGACCACCCCAGTTGGGGATACACCCCTCGAACCCCGAAGGGAACGGCCTATATCCCCATCCAGGGGGGCAGATCGCCCAGTGGGGCCCAGGCCACGCCGCTGGGGACGGGGAGGGGGATCGGTGAAACGATGCTCAAAAGCGCCAGCGTCGGCCAGCGTCGATCTGCAGGGGCCGGCCACATGGCATGGGCGGCGCCCGCGAGTCGTGCCACAGGAAGCCCTCGCTGCGGACCTTTCGGGGTCGGGGGTCGGCCGCGCCCGAGGCCGGAGATCGCACACGCGCTCGCCCACCCGCCCGCCTCCCTCCCTCCTTCGGGGAGGCTCGCCCCCGCCACGGCGGGATCTCCCGTGCGATTCGGGCCGGACCGCGCCCCAGGACAGGTCCCGAGGGTCGAGTTCGGACCTCCAGACCCGCGCCCCCTCGCGCCGTGAAAGCATCGTGACGGAGGGTTTTTGGCCGCCCTCAGATTCCCGGGCTGCGTGCACCGCTTCGGCCCCGTCGAGGGGCGCTTTCCTCGATGCACTGGCGCTCCTGGCGCCAGGCGGCGCCAGAAAAGCCAGCTGCACGCAGTTGGCTCCCTGGCCCCCAGTTGCTCTTCCCCCCTGGTTGACCGCTCCGATCCCTCTTCTCACCCGTTCTCGCCCCTCCTCTGTCCTCCGCTGTTCTCACCACTTCTCACCTCCTGTCCTCGCTCGCCTCTCCTCTCGTTGGCCGTTCTTGTCGGGAGCGGGAGCAGTGGAGCGGACGTTTCACTGCGAACAACAGTTCATTGCACCACAGAGAGCCCCGCATGGATTGCACAACATGCATTGCACCATATAGGTTGCACAACACACACACACATATACATAAACATACATCAAGACAGTCGTAGCACCCCGCAGTCGCGGATAAGAGTGAGGGGGCGGCGGGGACGTCGGCAGTCTGCGACACACTGAAAAAGCCCGCCGCAGGCGCTTAATTTGCACAACTTATTCAACGAGCCCGCCGCAGGCGCCGAATTTTTCGTCAAAGCTGTGTGGGGGGGGGGCACGGGGTGGGTCGCGGGTGGGTCGCGGGTGGGTCTCGGGTGGGTCGCGGGCCGGGTCGCGGGTGGGTCGCGGGAGGGTCGCGAGTGGGTCGCGGGAGAGTCGCGGGGTAGGATATAGCACGACGTATATGGCAATATATATATATATATATATATATACACGCACACATCTGTACAAATATCACACATATAGATGTATATTCACCATTCGAAAAAGGAACTTGGATCTACCACCCCTCCAGTCCGCGATACTAGGTCCTTCCGAGGGATGGGCAAGGGCAATTTACATCTGAGATTGCCCTATCGCTCATTCGAAGTATGAGTTCATACCACCCCAGCCAGGCCAGATCCGACCCCTCCCCCCCACCATTTTGTACAGAAAATCATGAGGCGCGCACGCTCGTCTACCATGTATGAGTGACCCTTGCAGGAGAAAAAATGCGTTGATGTGCGCACGCGCACGTCGTCGCGCGAGCATGCCGATCCTTCGACAACCTTTGGTGTCGTAGGGGGTTCAAGATCGAGTGTACCGGCAACGTGTACAAACACATGTTTTTGCCATATGAGTGCTCCCAAAAAAAACGCTCGCTCAAGCGGAAACCATTCGAACGCCCTTGCACGCGTGCTGGGGGCGGGGTAGGGAGACACGATCCCTTTCAAATGAGACCATGCCGGCCACTCGCGCTCGTTGGCCGCGCGCATGCCGGGATTCCTTGAAAATATTCATCGCCGACGCGTGGACACCATCATCCTCACTGGCGTGATCAGCATCGGCGCCGTCATTGTCCTTGTCTCGTCATCGTCATCGTCATCGTCGTCACCAGCATCGCTACAACCATCATCGTGTCTGCCGTTGACGGCGTCGCCGTGATTAGCGCGGCCGTAACGACGCGCCAGCCAGCACCAAGAAGTCATCGCAATCGCCCTCGCATGGGTTTTGCAAACCAAGTTTCGGGCAGGTGGGTGGGATGATTGCGCGAGCAGCGGAGTTGACAACTTCAAGCTCGGTGCGGTGAGTAGTCCTTTCTACAAGTGGAATAGGATCTAACATCTAACCCCTCCGGGGTTAACCGGCCACTTTTTTCGTATTGCAATGTACATATGATTCTGCCTCACCCCGAAATCTGAATTTGTACCATCCAAGGCAGGCCTGTTTCGGCCCTCCTCATCCGTTGCATCAAAGACCATGCGCGCGTACTCGTTTATCAAATATCATCAGTTGCCAAGCATCCTTTGCAAACCATGGGACTGAGTGCGCGCGCGCGTCGTCGCGCGCGCGCATGTCAGAGACCTCAGGCACCGCAAGGATTTCATAATCGAGAGTCACGTGAACATATGGAGCCCTCCAGAAAGGGCCTTGCCTTCGAGTATCGAAGGGGTTGTCATCTCTTCCGCGGCGGATGGCGGCGGAAGGTCGGCGGAAGTAAAACGAGGCCGCCTCCGCAGGCGGAAGCCGGCGGAAGCTCGGCGAAAGGTGGCGGAAGTAAGAAATGTGCCCCCAAGAGATGAAAACGTTTTTTGGTTCAGAGTTTCCGAAACCGCCCATCTGAAAACACATTGCTTCGCAGTAGGGGTTTCCAAAAAAACTGCGCCCGCGCTCGGCGAATTCTTAAGAAAACATTAGGTTGTTCAACATGTTCATTCGATTATTCCAAACGGGTCTCCCGCGCCGCGAGTCGAACTCATTCGAACGCCCTTGTGGTGGTGCTGGGGGGGGGAGCTACTACGCGGGCCATTCGTGCGCGCCGGCCGCGCGCGCATGTCGACCGCCTTCAGAAACCTTCATCGCTGACGCGATAAGGCATAAGGGTCCGGGTGCAAGCACAGGCGAGACAGAAATGACTCTGGGCATGCCACGTGGCCAGGATGCCGGCGACGTCGTGGGCATGGCGCACAACGTTCTGGAGAGACAGCGAATGGACAGGTGCCATGCGAGATGAGAGCGCCAGGGAAAAGCGGCCGTCCAGACGGCGTTGGATAAAATGAGAGGGCAACTTACGTCATTATGCGTCGCAGGCGGGGTTGCAGCTGTGGGCCCGCGCAGCGGGGAGCCCCACTTAGTTGGCGTCGCATGCAGAGTTTTCCCAGCGATTCATCGAAGGATGACGGCAGCGTTGCCTTTTTCGGTGTACTGCCCCCCGCGGGGCCTCTTCGGAGCCAGGACTTTTCACTTCACTTCATCGCCGACGCGACGACGTCTTCATCGTTACTGGCGGGCGTGATCAACAGCTGCGCCGTCATTGGCCTTGTTGTCGTCATCGCCACCATCGTCACCATCATCGTTACTTTCGTAATCGTGTCTGCCCTGATACCGCGCTCACCCAAGTGACCGTCCCGCAATAAACTGCCCGCTTGGAAGTGCCCAACGGTCAGCGTCACTGCGGCCGCGTCGGTCGCGCCAAACTAGCTGGCCGCTGTGCGCGCGAGCATGCGCGGGCCAGCGCGGCCGCAGAGATGCAGCAGCCAACGCTAAGCACTCATCGTAGTCGCCGCCGCATGGGTTTTTCAAACCAAGGTGCGGGTGGGTGGTTAGGATGTTTGCAAGGGCGTGGAGTTGGTCAACTCAGTTGTAAAAGCCTACTACACCACACATATGGCCCCACATATACTGCGCACGATGGATTGCAACACGTATATTGCAGCACGTAGAACCACGCAGATTGCACCACACAGACGGCTAGAAACCCACTGTTTGGGGCCCGCGCGGGCTAACGCTGTTTCAAGCAATTACATACAGCATTGTTCCTAGAGCGTTTTGTGGTTCTGATACAATTATGTGGTACGCTTATAGAACTGCCGTGACGGCCGGTCCCTGCTCAATCCTGCGCCCCCTGTACGCGCGAGGTAAGATCGACAGCTGGTGTTCTAAGACTTGGGCGCTTCCTCTCGGTGGGCGGGGGTTGGTCTCCCCGATCTCCCGTGTGGGCCCCGGAAGCGTCATGGCAGTTGTTCCACCATGTTTCGAACATTGTGTCGCTGAAACATGAAAGCGGGCAAACAGAATTGCTCCCAGAAGCTGCGAAAGAGCGTCTCCGGGATTGGAGCCAGAACGGGAGCCAGAAAAACAACAGTGACGGAACCAGGAGCCAAACGGCAAAACAGAATTGGTGTTCTAAGGCGCCCCACCCTTTCTTCCGTGGCAGGGAGGGAACTTGCAGGCCTGAGATGAGGATGCGTCGCTCCAGAGCGTTTTGGGACGCGCTCAAAGCTTTCCGGAGCGCTCGTTCTAAGATTGCTGGATGCTTCTCTCTGGTGGGTGGTGTAGGTCTCCCCGATCTCGCGGGTTTGTGCCCCCCCTCTTCCGCGGCAGGGAGAGGTCGGGCAGGCCTGGACTCCCCTGGAAGATCATTCCATTTGGAACGCTCTGTGACGGCCGCGGCGCCCGTTGTCGTTCAGACCCACGGGCTCTCAGGTATTCCCGACATACTTTCGTCACTTTCGTTCGATACAGCGTGCAAGAGAGCATCCGCCACCGCCAAGCCTCCACACGGCATTTCTGAAGCGCTTGGGGCCCCGGTGCGGCCACCGAAGGCCATTTGCGTCCGCGCCCTCCCCAGACATCTTCTGATCCGTTTTTTCGATCCTCGCTCATGAGGTCCCGACCTCTTCCCTGGGGCTAGTTTTTCGTCCTGGATTCAAATTTGGTTGCCCAGGTGCCCCGTAATGGGCCCGGAGGCTAGCATCAAGGAACAACTGCGGGATTGAACAAAAACATCTCCTCGGAGATGTGTGTTCCCCATTCCCTGGCCAGGTATTATTACGGCATGGAGGACCGGCCCTCTGTGCCAGGCAGGCATGCAGGCCAGCACGCTGCGGGGGGCTGCGCCCTGAGGTCAGGGCGTTGTTGTCACAATTTGCTCTTGCAGGGCATGATTGTTGCTCGTCTTCTTGGGCGGGTGGTAAGGGGGGGTGGCTTACCTGGGAGGTGGAAAAGGGGCCCCGAAGGAGCCCTTTAGAGCCCCTGCTGGAACCAGCAGGGGCCCTAGATGGGGTCCTTAGGGCTCTTCTCTTTACCACGCATTGAGGCCACACCCCACTCGCATCCGTTCGATGCGGGCCCCCAGGCTCGGGGGTAACGTCAAGGGGGGATAGGCTGAGGTAGGGATGTCGACCTCCAAGCGCCCATTCATCACCGATAGGGGCCTGATATCAGGAGCGACCAAAAAGACGTGCGCGTGCATGAATCCACCTTGGTTTCGAGAGTGCGCATTGCGCGAACGTTCGTGTCACGCGGCTAGTCTCTCGGACTGGGGGGATTTGTTCATGTATAGTCGGGGCGCTGAAGAAGGAACCCTTTTCGTTGGGGAGGGGCTCGGCGTTCCTTGACTATGTTACAGTGTGCCTCATGTTTTCCTGCGGTTTTCCATGGGAGATCGAAGTTCAACTTTTGGGAAAAGTGGCCTCATTCCTGATTTAGGATTTCTTAGGTTCCCGCCCCGACTGTACGTCCGTTGTGGGCTCTCATGATAGCCCACACCCAGCCCTGGACCGGGCGGTTTCACTGTTCAAAGGGCCTCTCGGCGATCCCTCGGCGATGTATCGCCGAGTCCAGGTCGATGTTTCCCCACTGAGCTGCCCCCCCCCCTCCAGCGTTGCCCCTTCTCGTCCACGCGCAGAGGGGGGTACAGGGAGGGGGAAGGCTTCTTAGAAGCACCCCTGCTTCTCAGAAGGCGCGGGCCTTGTCTAAAGATGTAAGGCCGGCGCCTTCTAAGAAGCAGCCTCCTTCTAAGAAGCCTTCCCCCCTCCCCCTACCCCCCTGTGCGCGCCGCTAATATTCGGTACCCTCGCGGATCAGTCCGGTTCGAGGACTGCCGCAGAAACATTGGGCTCCCGGCTCCAGCCGTGGTCTCCGATGATGCTGCACTGCTTCGCGACGCGAGATCTTGGGGCGGGCCTTCCAAGGACAAGCAGGTCCGGTGGGCTGAGAGAGATGCAGTTGATCAGGAAGACAAGTATCGGGTTGGGAGCAATGAGGGTATCCTTACCCGTTGGCGGCCGAAGGCATCTTTCATTACATCCAGATGCTAGTCATCATACCCTCCATCCTCCCAACCCAGTCCTCCCATCACGATGATTGTTTTCCTCGGCTGTCGGGCACGGAGGAACTGCAGAAACATAGCCTTCGGGAGGCCCGCACGGATTTCTTGCGTCGGCGCCGGACCCCTCCTGGCGGTACCTCCAGCGCCGCTCCTGGCGCGCCCCGCGCGCCAGAGAGGGGGTCCAGCGCCGCTCCAAGAAATCGGGGCGGACCTGCGAAAACATAGATTTATGCCCATGTCTTCTTTTCACCAGGGGCGATGGGAATGTGGGGGGATGGGGCCAGCGAAGGGTTTGGGAGAAAGGTGGCGCGTCCAGTCCAAGGAATGCTGTGAGGATGGTATGGGAGATGTGGATTTAATATTTCAGCATACTTACGCCAAGCATGTCCCTGCTGCATCCGACCGTGTAGCTTACTTCAGCCTGCAACCATGACGACGAAGCGATCCTTTCCAGGACCACAGTGCATTTATATGCGTTCGACGTTGCAGCATATTATGGCTCCCGTTCTGATTCCAATGCGCAAGCATTTGGCAGACGTTTGTAGGCAGGCCCGAGACATGAAATACAATGTAAAGTATGCTCGCTGGCCAGATGTGCTAAGTTTTCATATGGCAATATCAATGGTGCAAGCTTCGGGCGCGACATATTGCTTTGGTTACGTGTGTACCGTATGGAGCCCCGACAACCTATCAACGTCCAAGAAAGTTTGCCCTGCGATTTCGTACGAGCATTCCGGAATCAAGCCTTCTTGTTACGCCTTGCCCGCGAACTCCACACTCTTGGGCAGCATTCGCGAATCGCTAGCGATGTTTAGCGGAGTCTCTGTAGATACAGTAATCGAGGCTCGCGGGCGCTCGGGAGCTGACAGTTCTTGAATCGACCCAGATGCCTGCAGGAACACAAAGCACCACCTTGCCAGATCAGCTGCGCAGCAGGAATAAGGTTGAGTTTGAGACCCGCTTCAGTTCAGCACCCTGTTCAAACTGGCGCGGGACTTGACCACCCTTCATTCTCTGGCGTCTTGATACCCTCTTCCTTCTTCCCTCCCCCTCTTCCTCTCCTTCCCAATCCCCTTTTCCACTCGAAGGCACATTGGAGGTTTACTGTGGGGATTCTTTGTTGCCTCTTGGGGGCATCTTGAGGCCCCCTTGGGGAGATGGGTGGTTCAGAGGTCTCGGGCCGCCTTGCGGGCGATGATTCCACAGAGCTCTCTGTGTGGGCGGGTCTTGGGGCCGTCTTGGAGCCATCTTATGCCGTCTTGGGTGGGTTCTCGGACAGTCCGGCGGCTGTATTGGGGCCCTCAGGCCCGTCTTGGATAGTATATTGGAGGGGTTCTCGGGGATTTTTCAAGCTTTCATGATTCGATCTCAAGCCCGAGTCTTTCGGACTCAAACAATATTGTATTCTCCAGGTTTTCCCAAGGTCTTCGCGTCCGGGGCTCTCGATAAAGATCTCTTGAGGCGTCTCTTGGAGACTTCTTGGGGCCTCTCGGGGCATCATGAGGAGATCGTGGAGCCCTGTGGGGCTCGTTGAGTAGTATTGGGGTGGTCTTGTTTTGTCTTACATCCGTTTTGGGGCGCTCTTCGGATCTCGTGGAGTCGCCTACAGGCCGCAAAGGATGCCAGGGAGAAACAGTGGGGGAAAACGCGTGCGTCCTGGGGGACGTGCTTCCAGTGCAGATGTCCCCCGCAATATTTCACGACTTGGCAAACTACAATTTCAATAGAGTGGTAAGAAGCCCTTGCGATGCAGAACGGTATGGGACAAGGTGCAACCAGGTCGGGTTAGCCACTCTTACGTACGGTGATCATGAAACTACTTAGCCAAGTAGTCATGGAAGGTGTTTTCAGCAAGTTCGGGTGGCAAGCATTTCCAAGCATGGTACGCGCCGCGTGTAATTGTGTTGGGGTACAGTCATATACATCGGCCGTGACTTGGCCGCTTTTGGTATACGTCTTGTGTTTCTTCATCCAGCTACGTGTTAACACGTGTAGTGCGGATAAGTTTGGTACGAGCGACGTGTAGTGCGGATAAGCCTCGGAGGGCGACAGGGATTCAAGTCCACAAGAGCCTCTCCGAACGTGGCGCGATTTGCCTCGTCTGTCTCAACCATGATTCAGGGTTCGGCAGGTGGTCTCTGGCTCGTTGTCGCTTCGCCATGCGAGCCTCCACTCCGTGCCATCCTGGAATAGCACCCACTGCTCGAGCCTCAGTGCTCCAGCAGGTGCGCCTGTCTTCACCTCTTCCTGCCTCGCGGCAGGCCAGGGCATCTGCTCCAAAGGCCAGCGCGACCAGGCGCTGGACGGAACGTGCTCTGCCTTCCCCGCAGTGGCCCCTTTTCTGCGGGATGCGGGCTCTGGCCAGGCCATGGGCTGGTGAGCTCGGCGCTTTGGGGGAGGGTGCCGACTTCAGCCAGCCTCCTCGACCCTCGATTCTCGCTCGTAGAGGCGGTGGGGGCCGAGAGGTGCTCTGGCCATGGCGCCCGCGCGGGGCCAGCCTTCGATGAGCTCCAGCTACCTGCTGGCACCGATCCTGGCCTGGCCGACCCTGTCCCTGGATTGCTGCATCTGGCCAGGCCCCGCGGGCGTGGACACCGACCTTTGGCCAAGGGCCCCAGAGGGGCGAGAAGCAACACACTCGTGTTCCCGCCCTCGCCCCTGCGAGTGCCGCCCGCGTCGGGAGACTCGATGGCGCCTCCAGGGCGGTTTATCTTGTTTATCTTGTCTATCGTGTTTTTGTTTGTCTCTCTCTCTCTCTCTTTCTCTCCTGGCAGTGCTTGCAGCAGGACGGCTCGGCCCTCGCCAACGCCGACGAGCGCCAGCGTTGGTTGCCCACTGGCCCTGACACCTGGCCCCTGCCTGCACTGGCGGGTCGGCCGTTGGCAACGTTGGGTTGCCGATTAGTCCGGACTCCCGTGTTGCACCAGCCCCCTGCGTTGTTGTCGGTTGCCGTTGCCGACGGGCCCCAGCGACGTTTGTCCATTCGCCCTGGCGCTGTTCGCCAGCTGTGGCAGAGTAAGAGTGATTGGACCTGGGAGTTCAAGCCAGAGTTGCACAGCTTGGCTCAGACTAGATTTGCAATCCGAGTCAAAAGCATGGTTATAGTCAGACATGGACGTCGAGGTAAGGTTGAAATCGGATTCGGAGTGGATGCAATCAGCACGATCCTGCAAGTATTTCCCCTGAGTTCCACGCGCTGGCATCTGTGGGACCATCGGACCTGGCTAACACGTATGAGATCAGCTCACAAATTCTTCATATTAGCTCAGGTGGCTTGTTTGCCCTCTCGGTTTTTCCTCTGGCGTTCGGGCTTCGTTCTGGTGACGGACTTAACTTGTTTGCCAAAGGAAAATGTTTCAGAGATTTGCCCCGTCTCCCCGCCCTCCTTCGCTTACGCTCCCCCCTAGACCCTAGTCCCTCAGAGCTCTGGATCCATTCTCCGCGACTGGTTTGACGGCCCTGGGGCCCAGTAAGGGCCCCCAGAGGCCGAACAGTGCGAAGAACGTTTCGTCGTGATCTTTCCGCGACGCGAGGTGGTCTGGCTCTCCCGCAGGACCTGTTCTCGCGCCACCCCGACATCATCCGACGCCTGTGCAAGGACGCGCCGGCGCTGCTGCCGACGCTGCTGGGCGGGCTGGTGTGGCGCTCGCAGCAGGCGAAGGAGGGCGTGCGGCGCGCGAACTATTACGTGAAGCACCTGGTCTTGGACAGCGAGGGCGGGGTGTCCAAGGTCGTGCCGCCGGGGCCGCCTGCGACCCATGTCGATGCGATCCGGGGCGCCAGCCCGGGGCAGCGATTCCGGTGCGGTCTGGCTCGGTTCGGCTCTGCGGCATCGGTCGGGGGCCGGGCGAGGCCAGGCGCGGCGATCCGATCTCTTGTCGATTCGGAACAATTCGCTGGCGACCTGATCCGTTTCCGATGCGATCCGATGTGCCGATTCGATGCGGCTAGGGCTTGATGGTTGGCACGAAGGATCAGAGCAACCCTGGTTCCGGAGGTGCACCCTTGGAATGGTCTTCGTTTGGGGTGTCTTCGTGGGGCTTTGCCAGAGGAGCAAGAACCCATGATAATGATGCCTTCCAGGATTTCCCAGATTTCCATGATTTCGAGATTTCCGAATGTTCGACAGGCTGCATAAAGAAGGGCCGCTGGACACTCCATCATTTTTAGACCGCATCCTGAGCCAATCGTATCATGATGTCGGTCTCGTCCTGCGGTGGGTCTTCGGCGAAGGTGCTCAGGCTCTCGGTCCACGGTCTCGTGGGCATGTGTCGAATATGTACGGGGGCAACTCGGGTGGTGGTGGGGGGAAGATAACAATGATGACGATGACGATGACGATGACAATTGACGACGATGACGACGATGACGATGACGATGACGATGACGATGTCGTCATCGTTATCGTCATCGTGATCGTCATCGAGTGTGCTATGCCGTGGAGGCCCAACTTGTTGCCCACCTCGCACTCGTCAGAGGAAGGGCGCCGCTCGCTCTGTGGCAGCGCCTCGTCCTGTGGACGGCTCGTCCCCGCCGTCGTCGTTCTGCTTCCGAAGCTCCACCTTCTCGGAGTCGTCCTGCTGAGCTGGCTTCCTTCTCTTCCTGCTATCCCTATCCCCGCTTACTCTCCTCGCAAAGGCAATGGAGTGGCTCTGCGAGGCCAAGGACCCGAAGATCATGATTCACCCGGTAGTCCTGAAGGTTTCTAGTATCTTGTGGAATGGTTTTGTCCGGCGATTGTTCATCCTTTCGAGGTCGTGGTTTGTGATGAGTTTGATCGTGTTCATGCTCAGCCAGGCCCTCCTTCCCAAGATGCCGAATGTCCAGAATTCGCGCACGCTTCGAATAGTGGTCTTTGCCGGCAGACTGTTGAACTACACCTTCACCATGTTCAGACTAAAAGCGCAGCACTTAGGACAGACATTCCGGCACTTACGCGACAGGGACCTGACCACCAGATTGTGGTGTTTCCCGGTGCCTCGGTACTTGGAAGACTTTCAGGAGATTGGTTCTCTGTGGCTTCTACTGCTACTTATGTTAATGTGCGCCCACGAGCCGATGCTTTGGTGCCTCTCGTCATCCGACGTTGGGAGCGACGAGTGGCCTACCGAATTCTGCGAGGAGAGCGACCACGTGCGTTTTCGATACTCGCTTTTCACCGCATTTGCCATGGTTGTCCACTGGGGAATGCTAATCGACTTGGCTGTCTTCTCCACGGCCCTCTCGGCCTTTGTACTGATATGCGGTCAAGTACTGTCTGAGTTTAGCCGCTTCCTCGTTGCACTTACTTTTCTCATATTCACTTTCGCGAGCTCAATTAGCGTATTGGAGCATGACTACCTTTTGATGCGCGATATCCCGAGATCTGCTGTCGCGTTGTTTGGCATCACTGTAGCTATATTCGAGGACGATTACCGAGACATGAGTCATGAGCCTGCCTTGCTGTGTGCAGTGCTGCTTTTTGTCACATTCACAGTTATTCTGCTCATGAACCTGCTCATTGCGCAGCTGAATACTACATATGTCCGAATCTACCAGGATACAGTAGGTTGGGCGCTCATCAACCGCGCCAGCACGATTGTTGAGGTACTGTCGACAGTTTCCATGACGAAGTGGACGAGGTTCGTGGAAGGCTTGGGCTTCGACGAAAAGTTGGAGTTCAACGAAGGCGATTGTCCGAGCCAGCTGCGGGCCCTCTCCTCCCGTTCCATGCATCCTTTCCCAGCCTCGCTTCCCATCCGGGGCTGCGAGATCCTTCATACCCATGCGCCCTCCCCCTCCTCCCTCTTTCGCTCCTCCTCCCCGTCCTGGTTACCCGTGCAGCCTTCCCCCTTTCTTAGCTTCGCTTCCCCTCCAGGGCCGCGAGATCCTCCATGCCCGTGCGCCCTCCTCCCCCCCCCTCCCCCTCCTCCTCCCCCGCTCCCTCCCCAGACATCCGACGACGCGATCTGCGTCATCCGCGGGCCCCAGAGGCCTCGACTCCCCAGGAGCCAGTCTGGACCCGGTCCGGCGGGTGACTCGGCCCGAGGGAGTGCCCTCGGAAGCCGGCATCCAGAGCACAAGTGCCGCGATTGAGGCAAGCCGTCCGCAGGAAGCCTGGGCCCTCTTCCCTCTCCCTCCTCTTCGGGGGCGCCGGCAGGGGCGGACTTGCTCAGGGGGAGGGAGGGCGAGGCATCGACCATCGATCGCCCACTCGTCACCAATCGGGGCCTGGGTGCCCCAGGCCATCCAGGATCGTCCAGTTTCGCTGCCAGGGTCCCGTCACCGATCAATCGGCGATGTATCGCCGATCCCAGGTCATCGCTTCCCCATCTGAAGCTGGCCCTGCCCTATCGTCTTCCTGTTATTGTTGAGTTCCTCTATCGGTGGGCTTTCTGGGGGTTGTGCTCGGGGCTCCCCTATCGGCCCCTTGTGGGGCCCTCCTCGACTATTGTGGTCAATGGAGCGCGGCACTCGCCCGGCTGTCGCGGTTTGGACCTGCTTTCGTGGATAACCGTCTCGTTCCGTACCCCTCTTCGCCTCAGTAGCTGCCCCTGCTCGGGCGCCGCCCTGTCAGTTGGCAGGGGTGCGTTCGGAGCCTTCCGCCCCTTCTGTTCCCCTCCCCGCAGCGTGCTGCTGCTCCTCATCCTCTTCCTTCCTCTGCAGCGCATCGTCTAATCTAATTTCCCATCTTCCTCGTCGTCCTTCCCCTACCTGCCCCTCCTCCTCCTCCTCCTCCTCTTCGTTTTCCACTTCCTCCTGCTCTTCTTCTTCCTCCTCCTCCTCCTCCTCCTCCTCTTCATTTTCGTCCTCACCGTATCTTCCCTCCTTTCCTCCATTGTCCCTCCGCCTGCCCCTCCTCCTCCTCTTCTTCTCTTTGTCCTCATGATGTCACTCCTTCCCTTCTCCATTGCTCATCTTCCCTGATTGCTCCTCCTCCTCCTCCTCCTCCTCCTCCTCCTCACTCCTCCTCCTCCTCCTCCTCCTCCTCCTCTCCTCCTCCTCTCCTCCTCCCCTCTCCTCGTCTCTCCCCGTCTGCCTCTCCTGCCCCCCTTTGCCCTCCCTCCACATCGCCCCCGCCCCCTTCCACATCGCTGCCTCCCCGGAGGAGGAGGAGGAGGAGGGAGGAGGAGGAGGAGGAGGAGGAGGAGGAGGAGGAGGAGGAGGAGGAGGAGGAGGAGGAGGAGGAGGAGGAGGGAGGGGGAGGAGGGGGAGGAGGGGGGAGGGGGAGGAGGAGGGGGAGGAGGAGGAGGAGGAGGAGGAGGAGGAGGAGGAGGAGGAGGAGGAGGAGGAGGAGGAGTAGGAGGAGGGGGAGGAGGAGGAGGAGAAGGAGGAGGAGGAGGAGGAGGAGGAGGAGGAGGGAGGAGGAGGAGGAGGAGGAGGAGGAGGAGAGGGGGGGAGGGGGAGGAGGCGGGGAGGAGGAACGGAGGGAGGAGGAGGAGGAGAGGAGGAGGAGGAGGAGGAGGAGGAGGAGGAGGAGGAGAAAGATGACGAGGAGGAGGAGGAGGAGGAGGAGGAGGAGGAGGAGGAGGAGGAGGAGGAGGAGGAGGAGGAGGAGGAGGAGAAAGAGAAGGAGGCCTTCTCCGCCGAGGCGACGTCGGGCTGCCGGGGGGCGTCGTCGAGGCGGAGCCCGCGAGCATGCACCCGGTGGTGCACGAGAGCATCCTGCGGTTCGGGGGCTCGTGCAAGGGGGACGAGCCGTGGCCGGAGACCCGTGGCGCGCAAGAGAGGAAGAAGGCGGAGCAGGAGGAGGAGGAGGAGGAGGAGGAGGAGGAGGAGGAGGAGGAGGAGGAGGAGGGGGAGGAGGAGGAGAAGGAGGAGGAGGAGGAGGCGGAGGCAGAGGAGGAGGAGGAGGAGGAGGAGGAGGAGGGGGAGGAGGAGGGGGAGGAGGAGGTCCGTAGCTATTTTTGTGTTCAAGCCTCGGCTTGCCGAAATGAGCTGCGCAATTCACGCAGCTGTTTTGCCCCTGCGCAACCCGTCGCAGCGTCCGCGTCCGTGGGGAAACCGAGATTTTCCAGTTCCTGCGGATCCGATCTCTTCCATGTTGTGCGATTGATGTCTCCAGAGCTGGGGCTTGCAACACTTTTAGCTTGCGCGCAGGACTTTTATCATTGCCGATTCGGATTGCGATCGTGTCAACTTAGCGTACGATTCATTGCTGCATATTTGGACAAATTGCCAAGAAATGCTCATCTACTTGAGCTGAGTTTCGGCCGTCGAGCATATAGCTCCCACACCCTCTTTCTGGTGTATCGTTGCAAGTGAACAGGGCAGATGAATCTGCGAACGCTCACAGTTGATCAGATTATTTGCCAGATTCTGTGGCAGGCGCCGCAGCGTTCCAAACGAAAGGCAAAAACACAACCATTTGATTACTCGGTTCCCGTGGTCATTAGTATACACGACGAGTTGGCAACGAGAAATTTTTCATAGCGTAAGTTCTTTTCTTCCACCGTTGTGGTCGATGCCAATTCGCCGAGCAATTCGGCCTTCTCCGAAGATAATGCAGAGGATTCATTCTTCTGCGCTGGGTATCACTGCCCTTCGTTTCCAAAAAAACCCGCGTGGCCGTGCTGCTGCCTTGGGGTCACTATACTCGGGCGCGCATAGATTGATCGAGGACAAGAATTCGACGATAGCTTCACTGATGGGGCAACAGGAGCGCCTGCAGCCGCAAGTGCAAAACAATAGCAACGTAGCTGACAGAGTTGGAGACTCTCAGTTCTTACCAGAGGCGACGGACAAACTCGGAAGAATTGAAGCTCCGGTTCATGAGCATTCTGCCGACGTGGACGCCAGTATTCGCGGGTTGGCGCAGCCACGTCTGCAAACTTCAAGAAATTTCCGGTGTGCGTTGGAGATTGGGGTTGTTGAGGTTGGGTTATCTTTTGAAGTGGGATTATCAGTTGCTTGCAAAACCTGAGGTTGGATTATCGGGTGCTTGCAAAGCTCGAGATACTTCGTGGTGGGCAGCTTCAGCTGACATGCCGAATCCGTGTGCTCCCGAGGGCTTGCCTGGGGAATCGGGTGGCGTCAGCACCGAGTTTGCAACATTTTTGGTCAGACGCTGGAGCAAGTAAGTGAAGGGTCGAAGTCCTGTCTGGGTTCTTCTGTCTTGCGCTTTGGTGCCGCAGCGCGGGCCATTCTGGATGCTGAGTGTCGGAAGACCAGAGATGAGGAGGATGTGAAGGTCGCCTCTGTCAGACAGGATTTGTGCCTGGTTTCTTCGGCGATCTCCCAGGAATGCGCCAGCTAGGTGCATCTTGGCATTGCTGTTGCAGCGATCGATGTTCCCGTGGGCCTCAAAGGTAGCGCCCTCAATGGCATGCCTGGGTCAGTGTGTGGAGGCGATCGTGATCGAGTAACTAGGTGTAGTGTTTCTTTTCTGTGAAGGCGCCAAGAAGATCCAGCCAACCAATTTGGTGGTGGACAGCAGGCTCAGCGAAAGTGGGCTTCTAGCGCTGGCTGCGGCGACATCTACGTGTGTATATGAGGCTGCGAAAGTTTGGACCAACTTACGTGTGAAGGAGAGGAAGACGAGGAGGAAGGCTCCAGGCGCGTGCGTGCGCGACCCACTTTGCCTCTTCCCACGGCGAAGGTATCAACGGACGATAGCGACTTCTGCGCCCCAGAGGAAGCGGTTGCATGTTCTGCCTGTGTCGTCGCAGGGTCGCCGTCATGATGATGAGTGGCATGAAACGCTGGTGTGGTGTACCGGTGGGTACACATGCAACACCAGCCGTATGCGCGTGCGTCCAGTCGTGTGTCGTGTCAGGAACATTGCCATGATGATGGGTGTCGTGAAACACTGGTGTGGTATACCGATGGATAGACGTGGAACGCTGGAGTGCGCCCGCTACCCTCAGCGCGCGCCCGTTTGCTCCGCTGGTTCCCTGGGCGCCGTCGACGGCACCGCCTGCAGTTAGGCGACCTGGCCGCGCGAGGAAAGGACGACCGCAGTTTGGGTGGAGGGCGCGTGTCCGACAAGTCTTCACCCCCTTGCCGCCTTCAATTCCGGATTCGACGAGGGGTTTCCCAGGTCGGCCGCGGAAGGGTCGTGGCCCGACACCAACGACCTCTGTTTGGGCAACAAAGCGTCACGACGCCAAGAACCCAAGCATTGCGTACGACCTTTCGGCCCCTCAGGGGCCTTTTGGACGGGGAGCCGTTCCATTGGCGACTTCGTGGTCATACCCTTTCCGGAGCAGCAGCAACGAAAGCATTACGTCTCGTGGGCCGTACAATATTTCACCAGAGGTCCAAGTGCCGTTTTTTCCCGGCGAGTTTTTCAAAGTTATACAGGCGAAATACCGAAACAGGTACAATTGCGAGTACCGTCGTCGTGGGTGTCGCCGTCGGTTGAGCTCCTTCTGGGGCCACGAAGCGTGTCAGGGGTGTGCCGACATGGATGGGGCGGCCACCTGTGGACACCGCCACCTGGGGCCTTTCATTGGAGATCCCTATGGGGCCACGAAACGAATGAGGATTTTGCCAAAATGGACGTGAAGCAGCATGCTGACCTTGCCAATGGGGCATTCGGAGGAGCTCCCTATGGGGCCTCGAAGCGCGTGAGGGTTGTGTTAAAATAGGCGGGGAACCGCATTGGGACCTTGCCACTGGGACCGTCGGTGGAGCCCCTATGGGGCAACCGAGCGTGCGAGGGTTGCGCTGACGAAAGCCGCATGTGGGCCCTGCCGCTGTGAGGTTGTACCAGAATGGGCGGGGAACCGCGTGTGGACCCTGCGATTGGGGCCATCGGGGGAGCTTCCTATGTGGCCACGAAGCGTGTGAGGGTGGTGCCAAAATGGGCGAGGAACCGCATGTGGACCGTGGGCCTTCGGAGGGGCTCCCTATGCGGCCACGAAGCGTGTGAAGGGTATGTCGAAGTGGGTCGGGGACCGCCTGTGGACCCTGCCATTGGGGCCATCGGGGGAGCTCCCAATGGGGCCACGAAGCGTGTGAGGGTGGTGCCAAAATGGGCGGGGAACCGCATGTGGACCCTGCTACTGAGGCCTTCGGAGGAGATGGGTATGGGGCCACACAACGTGTGAGGGTTGTGCCAAAATGGGCGGGGAACCGCATGTGGACCCTGCCATTGGGGCCTTCGGTGGAGCTCCCGATTGGGCAACGCAGCGTGTCAGGGGTATGCCCAACTTGGTGGGGAACCGCATGTGGACCTTGCCCGTTTGCATTGACCCCGTCTCTTGAGCCTCGAAGGTTTGGGTTTCGGCTCATCACTCGGATCTCTGGTGGTCTTTCGAGACCATCTGGGCTCCCCCAGAACGCCCTCGGCGAGGCGCATCTGCTGGAGAGCACCCCGAGGCTGGAAAACCTCCGAGGTCGTTCGAAAAACCTGCGCGCACGCCTGGGGGATCCCGCGCCGGAGCGGTCGGCGAGGCCGCCATTGGTGGCAAGAACAGCCAGAGGAGCGAGCGGCGATACGCCGCGGTTACCAGGAAAAGGAATGGAGGAAGGAGGAGGAGGAGGAGGATGATGAGGAGGAGCAGGAGCAGGAGGAGCAGGAGGAGTACGAAGGCCGTTGGTCTGGCGTGAAAGAAACAGATCTAAGAGTCCTAGCGGAAAGGGGCCCTCCTCGGCCCCGGCCCTTCACCCTCATGCGTTTGTTGACAGCTTCAGGGCCCAGGGAGGGCCCAGGGGCCTTGCAGGCCTGCGCTGGATCGAATCGCTAAGCCGGATCGGATCGGAAACGGGTCGCATCGCCCGCGAGTCGCCCCGAGTCGAGTGGAGATCGGAGCGCTGCGCCTGGCTCTGGCTGGCCCTGGGTCGGTGCATCGAGCCGAATCGAATCGAATCGAATCGGAATCGCTGCCCTGGCTGGCGAGTCGAGTCGCATCGAATCGTAGGCCGCCCCTGCCTTGGGGGGCAAATCCGGCGGACAAAAACCTGCGAGGTCCGACAAACTCTCGGGGCCCGCCTGCTCGACGAGGAGGGGCGGAGGAGGGCCAGCGAGGGCGGTGCGGAGCTCGAGCGGAGAACCCTGCGGCGCGGAAGCTTCGGGGATCTGCTGACCGGGGTCCATCCAGACCCGGGCGAGGAGTTGTCGGGGTGCGCGGCGCCTTCGCCTCGCCTCCTCTGGGGGGCCGAGGTGCCGCGGGCCGCGCTGTTGCTGCTTCCGGGGGCCGCGGGCGCTGTGGCCGAGGTGACCAGGGCCGGCATGGAGTTGGCAAGCGTGGGCGTGAGCGGCCTCCGGCAGTACGACGTTCACCTCGCTTGTCGGGGTGCCCTGGCTTCCATGAGGGGCCCGGGCGCGCGCGCGCCTCGACGTCGAAGTCGCCTCGGGCTAATTAGTGCCCGGGCGAAGCAGCGCAGGCCGAGCACGTCCCCCCCTGGCCCTTGGGCGGCCCGCCTCTGGTCGATATGGGGCGCGGGCTGGATCGCAGCGCGGGGCAGGCTCTGGCCCCCCCGAGCCCGTTCCGCCAGGGGCCGGGGCTGGAAATGGACATGCAGTGCGGGATCGATTGCCGCGCTTTTCTCGGGCCCCAGCTCCGCGTCGCCGGGCGCGAGAGATTAGACATTTTCCGTGCATTCGCCGCTGCTGTCGAGCCCATCGATCTGCGTTTTCTGACCAGGCGCCGCGCGCGCATCGAGTGCGCCCCCGGCGCGCGCCCATGTTTGCTGCTATGATGGTCGTCCTCTTCGACTGGCCGGACAGGGCCCTGCCTCGACGACTGGCGCGCGGATTTGCT